ATAGCAGTCTTTGAGAATCCACGGACCCCAGTAATGTAGACTCTGATTGTGAGATCTTGCAGTTATTTAACCAGAGGTAAGTCTCTGGCCAGTGTGAGTACACGCGCCGAAATCAAGCCTGTTCATTGCTTTTCAATAAATTTTAATAATGCCTCAAAAACAGTAGAACTTCAAGAAAAAGGTTATACAATAAAGTGCCCTTTCAGAGTCTGTGGTCACAAAAATAGTAATGAAGGTAGTGGACGTCAATTTTCAAAATTTTGATGACATGATTGTAGTTACAATTCCAGATTCTAAAAATGTATGTCACGTACGTTACAATTACTTCGTCTGGTTTCTGTTTTTCACCTAGAAATTCTCAAGAAATTTATCAAGATTAGATTGGAAATTAAAACTGAAATTTCACGCTTTTTTATGCGCTATCAAGCGGGTAGATGTTACAACCAACCAGTCGGCAAGAATACATTTTTTTAATTCCTAATATGATTTCACAGTTTTGGAAACTAGAACATCCTGAAACATATACAGGCCATTCATTCCGAAGAACATCGTCAACGTTACTGGCTAATTACAGGAGTTGATGCATTAATAATCAAGAGACATGATGGGTGGAAATCAGCCACAATTGCAGAAAATTATGTTGCCGACAGTTTAAGTAACAAAAATGAAATAGCCAACAGGATTCTTTACAACGACACTTCAACTCCACGTTCTAGTAGTACGTCGCAGCATGCTGTTTTAATGGATCAGTCAGACAATATTGAGCCTCCGATGACTGAAATGGAGCGGTCAAATCATTTTGAGAAGAATGTGATAATTAGTAAACGCGAGGGGAATAATTATCCAGATTTTATAAATGTTACTAAATGTAATAACTGTACAATTGTGTTAATTTTTTTTTGTATCATCATCAAATGTATATCCTTCTAATGGTATGCTTTAAAACATAACGGATAACACCATAACTTCAGCATGCATCGCCTGTACAGTTTTCTAATCAATATTCAATTCGATATGTGTATTAGATATTCCTTTAAAAAATATCGGTGACATCATATCTCCAAGGTAGTTAGAGGTACCGCCAAAATTTGCATGCATTAAAATCGAGTTTAAGTATTGTTTTTAAACTACTGAGCAGTATGTTTTCACTGAATTCGTTTCACTTAGGCAGTGATAAACTTTTATTTTATTCAAACATTTCTTTCACTGAATCCATTAAATTTTCGATACCTGCTATATTTTCCCTTGAAATAAACTTCTAATCCCAGACGTTCTGAGCCTTCTATTCAAATCGGTGTTTATAATCATCGCATTCAACAAAAAACGCGGGAAAGCCCTACCCACAATGATATTTATTGTAAGTTTTTTAACCTAGAATATCATCGCGTCCGCCCACCGGACTGTTACAGTTTAGAAATGGTCTCTTCTCTTTTCTGCTGTCACAGGAGATCCGTTGAAATACATATATTCAACACACCTTTTTCGTGAAACGTTTCCACACAATAGCTTGATTAATGATATCCTCTAAAGCGTTTCTCTGGATTCATATAGAATTTATAGTCGGAATATGAAATGCACAATCTCGCATTATTTGTAATCATTATTAATCGATTTATCAAACTATTTTCATACGAACAAAACGCGCAGAGAACTCTACCTGTTTATATTTTTCGGATCACGCCTATTAGCGTTCTGTGTAAACGTTTCGGCTTAGAAACGCAAGTCACCTCGCCTCGAACCTCGCGACAGCTGCCCTCTTTTTACTGGAAGCTCCGGCGCAATTCCGGTAAATTAAATGAATTATTTATGAGCTAGTTTCGGCTCGAGTTTTGGGAAAAACTGCCCTCGTTCTGTCAGTACTGCCGAATTTACGACAGGAGTTTGTACCAATTGCTATTGTCGGACGCAGTCCGATGAAATCTTCAATAAATAAGAGCGACCGGATTTACAGATTCGTGTCTCGGTTAAATAAATGACTTTAATAACTGATGAAGTGGTTGATGGAGTCTTGGAAGCGTTACTAAAAATGTCAACATTTACCTGATGGTCTGATTCAGGTTTTCAAGACTTGTATGTGTTTATGACAAGAGTGATGTAATTGGCGATTCATTTTGCATGGTCAGAAATATATATTTATAAATTTTACAAAAAACTAGGTTTAATTAGACAAGAGTTCTTTCAAATACTTGGTTGGCAACTGAATTAGAAAATTGAGATCCAGTTTTCTGCGAAACGATGCATTTTTAGGAATATAATGTATACCTTTTTTAAACAACAGTTTTTTTGTTATTAGCTCCCCCGATTTCATTGAAATGTCATAAAAAAAAACAAATAATCCTTTTTGAAACCGCATTTTGAGTAAGTAAAGCTTGAAATCGTCTTAGACTAAACGTTTTTCAGGGAATAAAGAACGCACCGTAAACAATCTATCGGTCGTCCCATGGGGTTACAGTTCCTGTAAGCTAACCATCAACAGTGTTATTACTTGTATAATTTTTTGCTACTCTAGGAAATTCAATATACGTCGTCCTGTGATTGATCATCTTAGGACGCATATGGGGAGCTGTAAACAAAAACAGTTAAATTTAAAACGTGTATTATATTGCGCGCAGTAGTAAATCACGTTGGCAGGGTATAAAAGCTTGGATGCAACAGGTGAAATACATGCATAAGATGGAGGCTGGCCAAGTGCCTGTTTGACATCTCGTTGTTTATCGCGGCCCCTGAACTGATGGCACGTACAGTGTCATTATATGGCATGTTCTGAAATTGTTGCTAACTCAAAGTTAATAGATGGACAGTAATTTAATTAAAAAGTAACTATTTTCTAAAGTGCAACTTTGTCTTCATAAAGGAGGCTGATTGCTAAAAAGTTACTTAAACCTTTGTTGTTCTCGGGCTAGGTTCTGCGGGAGCAGACCCACCAATAGAACCCTTATGCTTGTCCTGATGTTTATTTCGGTTTTTATGAAAATCATGCTACTGTATCACAAAAATAAAAGACAATAAGACAATTTAACCTTACAGGTCAATTATTGATCAATTTTATTGAAAGATCGGCGATAGACGACAACCGACATAAATATTTTGCCGGACCCCTTCCGCTCGAGCGGCGTTACCGCCACACTGAAAAGATCTAGAGCTCAGGTGTCAATTATAATCCATTATGAAGCCTCACGAAGCCTGGCATCGGGTTGATACAATTTTTCGATGGTATCGCGACCAACAATGCATTTATTCGATAAATCACTCTAAATTACCGGTTCGTTGAGGAGCGTTTATCTTTTTGAAATGGTGTTGATGCAATCACAAAGGCTTTTCAACGATGGTCGAGTTGCAGAGTGCATGTGTTGGATGGACTCGAGCTGTTCGATATCGGAACGAGTCTTGCTTTTTGTAAGCAAACGTCATTTTTTAATAATCGTCGCTATTACAACGTTAGTGCAGGTTGCAGCAGTGAATATTTACGCCAATGCTATACGTTAATTTTTAATAAGCAGTGGCGGCTCTGGATTTCCATACCAGGGAAAAATTTATGTACAATGTATTTAAAAAAAATTAAATATAATTGGGCAGTTTTATTTTAATTACATTGAAATATAGGGAATATATAAGAAACCATTATTTTTATAGTGAAAGTCTATTCTTCTGCTTTTGTCCGAAATAAACTTTTCAATTACATTTCCTTAAAGTTTGGTATTTCTCGCACAATCAATTTACAATCAATATAAGCTTTTACAATCTTTTAAAAAACACACAAGAAGCAATACATAAGTAATAAAATTTTAGACCACACCTGAAGAAATTACGTTTAATAAGAAAAAAAGCATTGAATAGCTACTATTTCGTTACGGTAGTAAATATGAGCTACTCCCACTTTGTCTCTCACCGCTGCGTGATGGTAACCATGACCACCGCTGTAAACACTTTACAGATGTAAGTGCTACGTAGGGTTTTTTAAACGAATTTTGCAAGTCGAGTTAAATTGACTGCACATTACATATTTAACATTTCCCTTTTAATGTTTTTCATAATTCTAATCTATTTAACTATGCAGATAACATTGTAAACTAAAATTTAAATTAAATTTTTTTACTATGAATTTTTTTTTTGTAGCAATGAAACAAATGATACAATTTTTACAATAGTTGTAAGTACGTTTACAATTTTGTTAATATTTCACTTTAAAATATGATAAAATTTATTTCTTAAATAAAAAAAAATTAATTAATCGAAACCAAACCGAACTCACGATTAAAAAAAGGTTGTCGCAAGGTAGATAATTTTTTTTGTAACCTATGTAAGTAACAAACACATTGCAATGACATTTTTTTAACTAGTTATGTTGTAACTACAACCCCGTACAAAATTCCGCAATATTTAGAGCATACAAGATCAGTCGACAGCAGAGACCAACTAATTTTTAACTTTAACAATACCGGCATTTTACGAAAAAACAAAAGTTAAAATTTATAATTAAGGGCGTCGTTTCCTTATATATTGCAAAATCGTAACTAAATAAACCAAGTTCAATTTTTACACCAACAGAACATCGATTTAATCTGTTAGTGAAAAAAAAATGTATATTTCTCCAGCAACTTATATGAATTTCTAGCAAAATTTTTTTACAAGATATACTTTTTGAATGGAGGTATATCAGTATTTATACAATACGTATAAAAACTGTTTCGTTAAATAATAAATGTATAATACTTTATTGACAATTTTTTTTTTGTTAAAAACAACAAAATGCCCTCCTTGTGTCATTTAGTTTTATACACAATCTGCAGTATAAAGGTGCCTAAATTTTGGGCTCTAAATATATGTTATTATATATTTCTATACTTATAAAATTTGCATGCAAGTTTCACAAGAATACTGATCGCTAGAGGCAATACCTCTAATTTCTTCAGGACCACAGTAATACCAGGTACGGGTATATATAGCACAATTTCAAGTTAACAATAAATATTTAAATTTGATATTAATATAATACATACATAATTCATATTCATGGCTGGGTTTCTGTCTTGGTATCGGGAATTTGGAAATGACAAAAGCTGAAAATAAAAATTCGTGTCAGAAAATTCAACGCAATGTCATTGAGCTACATAGTTGTTGTTTTAGGACAAATATCTCTCTCATCAGTCATCGCGCGATGCTTTTGTCTTAACAGTTGCCGAGAGGTCAGAAAAGATCCCGATATCTACCATGCAATTAGTCAAAAATATGTTACGCGGCGTGACGTTAGTCCGCAAGTTCTTTTGTTTGGCTAAGTAACGTACATAAAAATCTATTAGAGAAATTCGGCGTTAGCCCAAAACCTCTAATTATCCGTCTGTCTGCCTTCAATCTATTCGATTCAATAACACGTCCGTTGTTTTCTAGACATCGATGGTGATGGAGAGAATGGGATATTAGCGCACGATCAAAGCATGGGCGTACCGAAAAATAATTATTGCAGACGTCTCTATTAACAATATTAATGTCTTATTTAAATTAATTATGTAAATGATCCACAGTAATTATGCGCCTTTCTCCTTCTGGACGAGGCTGTGGAAAAAGCTGCTTGATTAGTGACGTGGAACGTTAATTCTTTAGTTTCAATTTCGGTAGTTAATAAATAAGTACTGCTATTTATAAAAAAATGTAATCCTCTTTATAAAGACGGTATTTTCACATGAACATGTTGGTTTTGATGAACTTCGTTGTCTTTGAAAATATTGGAAATCCCAATTATCACCTATTCCATCTTACAGATTTCAAAAATAAGGTCCTTATTTAAAAAATCATAATCTGTACCGGCTCATTGGTGTAATTTTTCACATTTCATTCAACTAATCAGCGGTCGGATTATCTTGAGTGTAAACCCAATGATTTGTTACTGTTATGATGTTAAATAGACATTTGTGCATTTTTCAGTGGCGTCGATTGTCCGTATCCGTTTGTCAGTTCATCTGCTACCATCGTTGTTTCTTTTGCTTGTTTTCACAGATACTCTTTTGGAATTTCGTCGAATTATTGGTGAGTTATAACAGAACCAAAATTTTGAGATTAATAATATTTTTATTTTAAAGAGTATTATGCCGTTTACTTCAGAACAATATGACTTTATTGTAAAGACGAGTCATGGACATATTCCCTACAATACTGTATTGAACAATTTATGACGAAATTTCCAGACCCAAACATTGACTATGACACTTTCTTAAACCGAAATGTGCTACTGTCAAAAGATTTGAAACCAACCACTGCATTTGCAAAAGAAAATCTACCCCGTCAACCACACCACTGAGGTTTAGGGATTTTTATTTCATCTTACCAACCGAGCAGTGTTGGTTGCATATGCTTGCCAGTCAGGTGGCTTGTGAACATTCTCTCTACAAGAGAACCATTTGATTACATGGCGTGGGCTCTTATTCTCGTTCCGAGACTTTATTCGGACTTGTGCAATCATCAAGCGTACGCGAGCTGTAGAGCAGAGCTAATCCTTTTCCGAGAAGCCCATTGAAAATTTGGCAGCGGTCGTGTCGGCAAGAACAAAGGGACCCAGATCTGAATATCAGGTGTGCTGTGATCGATGGGCAGGGTTGCGGGACCCCGACGACCACTAAACGGTGGATCCTCTCGCATCGTGAAGCCTCAATTCAACACCTCCGTCGGCAGATCGAGCCCAGATACCGTCGCGCTGGTCGGTCTCCATCTACTCATTATGTAGTAGGTGGTAACATTTAGCGTCGTGATCGGGTATCTTTATTACTTCGCATTAAAAAAAAAGAATGGTAAGAATTTCGATAATATAAAAATACGCTGGGATTCGAGGGGGAAGCGGGGCAAAACGGTGGGGATTTATCAAGTCTCTTGCTTTCGCGGGAATAATAACCCAACACAACCATAATATAGAACTAAGTGCCTTGTATTACGACAGGTCACGTGTCGCCATCTCTTGTTGACATACAGAAATAAATCTAGCGGTAAATTTAAATTGTTTAGGCGGAACCTTTACGAAATATATTTGTTTCTTTTCCTTTTGTCTTCTACAAACAGCAGATTTATTGGTACAATTAGTAAAATACGAATTAAATAAAAAAATAAACAAAACTATTTCTTTTTCGAACAACCATGGCAAGACTATGACTGAAATTATGAGTCTATAAAAAGTCTTAGATCTTTTATTTTATTTTATTTTTTGTTTTGAGACAATTACAAATTGTATAACAATAGTCACTTGTGCGAATAGCAGATATTTTAAAGTAAAAACAAATGTAACTTTACTAGAAAGCAAAAAACTCACCCAAGGAATAAAAATAAGTATAATTTTAACTTTACTTTAAATTGATAAAAAGATACTTTATCTTGTCTTAATTCAATAGGTTATTTATTAAAAATTTTAGGCCCCAAATAATTTGGTGACTTATTGGTAATTGACAATTTAGAAAAAGGTACCCGAATATTATTTTTATGCCTTGTATTTACACCATGTATGTCACTACTTCAATAAAATTTTTGCATATTTTTCAAAAAATAAATACACATCAAATATAAATAACGAACTTAAAGTTAAAATTTTGTCCTGTTTAAAAATATCTCTACAGGTATGTTCACTGGTTACACCAGCAATATTGCGCAAAATACGCTTCTGTGAAATAAAAACAGAATGTGAGAGGGTGGAACCACCCCAAAAACAGACATCATAACGAAGACGTGATTCTACTTGAGCATAATATAAATGAATTAACTGATTTTTAAATAAAAAATTTACTGAACTCAAGCTGGAAACGAGATGGTTGCAATGCACTTTCCAATTAAGGGTTTCGTCGGAATAAATTCCCAGAAATTTAACACTGCCTAAAGCGTCATTCTTAATGATACAGTTATTAATTTTTATTGTTAGGTCGTCACATTTTCTCTGTCTGTTATGAAATCTTATCATTTGCGTTTTATTTACATTTGAATATAAATAGTTCTGATTAAGCCATGCACATATATTTCCTATAACATGGAAATTTATTCCAGGTTTCGAGAACTGCCCTTCAATTCTCTGTACGACCATTTTTCACCTAACTACAGTCTGTCAAAAATCACGGAAAAATTTCGGAAATTCTTATGACCCTTTAATTGTTTGCGTTAGTGTGTTAGGATTGAAACTATATACATACTATTATAATTAATCCAAGACTAACTTCTTTCTAATACCATAGAAGACTGCCCCCATCTCCCCCACAGATCCACATGTGCAACCGCATTAGCAGAGATATGTAATTACATGCTACACGGCTATTTTCCGGCGTGAGCTTTGCGTCCTTGGGGAACCCCTCGATCCCTGGACCCCGTCGATCCCCAGATTACCAATTCCCTCGGAATTAAACATTCACATCATTCGGGGGTCGCACCGTTCGACACAGTTACGTCACCGCGATTGCCTCTGCGTTTGCAAACGAACACACAACGCCGGTCCGTTTTGAAATCGCCAGCTCGGGGAATATTAATCAGATGTCAAAATATAAAATTATTTTCAAATGACCCGCGTACGTGGACGGCGTCGGCGATTCGTAATTGTTTCTGTTGCACGATACGTTGAGGGGATTTCTAGGGCGACCGCGATTAAGGAATTCGATTGAACGTAAGCCCGCTGAAAATTATGTAAGGAAGGACATGAAGACAGAGAAGGTAAATTGCAGACGTTACTAAAAATTAGAAAAAATTGTTTAAATCAGAAGTCGAGAACTTGTGCAGGAGAAGGGGCGGAGTATTATTATTTAATAAATCGCATTTATATGCATCTACAACAAAAAAACCCTCAGTTTGTTCACAATAACAATGGTCAGTTCAGTATAATTTTCATTAATTTTGTCTGTCATTTTGTTACGGGAATTTTATGGAATTTTGCAATTTACTGTATTTTGGAGAATGTGTATATAAATTTTCACTCTATTTTTTTACAAATTTTATTGCTTATAGAACCTCAGGACCCTCATAACAGCGAGCTTTATCTTACATGTTTTGTGTTTGTATAAGTGGAGAATTAATTTTTTAGACAAAGATTTGATCAAGCGTCATTGCCAAAACCGGCACGTATTTGCAATCTGCTCCTGCCAATACGTTAAATGGCAATTCCATGTCAGATTAATAGGTACAGCGACCGGCCGGAGGAATGTTAAAACATTATTGATTTACAAACGTGAACAAATAATCTGATTTATGGTGTCATTTATCAATAATTCAGAATAAGTTGGACCATCCTTTCTTTATTAGTTTTAGTTCATTAGTTTTTTTGAACTACCATAAATCTTTGTAGCACAGGTTCGTCGTTAAGTTTTTACTCATTAAAAAAGGGATTAGGAAATAATTGAAGAGGACTTGTCGAAATGCCGCAGAATGTGCCAATAAAAATTGTTTATTGCTTTTTATCGTGGTCATAACGATTATTATACAATAGGGTCGTTCGCCATTTATTAATAACTTTTGTCAGATGATTTATGTACAATGTTTGATATATAGATAGGCATTCGCTTATTCCATATTTCCGGAATAACGTCATCATTTATTTAGGACCTTCAAGCTACAAAAATGCATGATCCTTCAAACTATTTACCCATTTCCGTCAATTCTTATTTAATTTAATTAATTATTATGAGAGAAAATGTTATTGGAGGTATTGATATCTAAAACAGAATCAACTTGTTTTGCTTTCAGTGCAGGGGTGCCTCAGGGATCTGTGCTTGGACCTGTATTATTCTTATTTTATGTTTACGATGTATCCAGCTCAGTAGATAATTCGTTATTATCTATTCCGTTTGCTGACGATACAAACATTAATGGACAAATTCTTGTTTTAAATCAAATGATTGACGAAACCAAATAAAAGGAATCGACGATGTAGGGTTTTTTCTTTCGAAATTAAATTTAAAGTAAATTTAAAACAAAAACTATAATTTTTAGCTTTTCTAACTTCTTTTTAGGAGGATCTTTAAATTTCAAGTTATTCTAGAATCGCCATACAGTTGTTCATATTTGCAATAATGTTTTCTCATTTTCATTTTGCTACAAATATAAACAA